TGTGTGTGTGTGTGTGTGTGTGTGCGTCAGATCTTCTCTGCTTATCACATAACAAATTGAAAGCTTAATCTGTGCTGTGTGTAGATTTATGACCTCGATCGCTGGCGAGGAAATACTCGGGGAAACGCAGAAGGCGAGGAGGAGGAGGGCGGAGACAGATGGAGCGTGCGTGTGTGAAGATAAGAGCACGATCAGCTGAGACCGCACGGTGATAAGACCGTGTACGAGCAGCCGATCAGAGGTCAGAGGTCGCACTGACAGACAGAGGTTATCTTCAGACAAACATAAGCAGGACTTCCTGCTGAGAGAGGAACAGGAAACAAAAATAACTGTGGTAACCATGGCGATAACCACGGCGTTCTTATTGTACCCACGTGGTTTCTGCATTGCGTCCACATCTCTACGCCACCTGTGTAAGCGGCCAGCAGAGCCGGTGGTCGGCGTGATTCGTGTCCCACGCTGGAGTAAACCTGTTAACATCCACGAATCAGCCGCGTGGCGTCTACGGCTTTTTCAGCCACGTGTTAAATACGGAGAATTTCCTGTTTACACTTTATGATACAGCTCAGGACCGAGGCTGGAATTCCTTTCTGATTAAATCTAATTGTGTTTTATTTGAAATTATAATTTCATTATATTTGAAAGGTAGCAGACCTTAAAAATGAGCTAACCACGAGGTTTACAGGAAACAAAGACACTTTCATGGTAACTTTACAGAGAAAACAACGATATTATCTCGTCTTACATCAGAAACATGTTTGTACTTTTTCAGTAAATTAATCCTCGTGTTTCATATTTTTTAATTTTATTTAAAATTCATTATGGTGACGAGCGCGATGGATGTTCTTATTATTCAACTCTGCTTTTATTAAATTATTATGTGACCTTCCAGTGATGACGTCTAAGGTCTTTGACAATCACTGTTCAAACAAAGTTTCAAAAGGTGGCCACAGGAAGTAAAACACCTGAAAGTTGGGCAGATTATTGTTCTTCTGCGCTGCCTAAAATTACTAATGCACGTGTTAAATTATTTACACACCATATAAATCTTCACGCAGTATTTCTGTTTCCCGTACAAAGCAGACTTGTTAATCTAGCCTACTTCCTTTCCAGTATTTGTAGATAACTTTGTAAGTAAAATAAGTTTAATTACAGGCGATCAGGCCCTTGGTCGCCGGCCGACCTTGATAGGGTCGTGAGGGTTAACATCGAACCTTTATTCTCTCTGTTTGAAGCAGCAGCACGTACCTGAAAAACTAAACCGACAGGACAAATCTGAACTCCTGCACGTGTGTTAAACAGTTACCGTGGTTACTGATGGATGATGCTGTGTGAGTCTCTCAGTATCAACCTGTGGTCGAGCCTCGTGTTGAGGCATCTCTTCTTTATGAACTTCATAATTCTAAATCGTTTCCTTGATCTGAAGTAACTTCTCACATCAAACACCTGAGATGTTCACCTGTTCAGGTGTGCAGTCAGTCTTTCATGACTCGGAGTGTAAAAGTGATTTCAGTCTGCGGTGCTTCGTTTGGAAAACCTCAGTTTGTTTACAGAACATCTGCTCAGAGTGTGTGTGTGTGTGTGTGTGTGTGTGTGTGTGCGTGCGTGCGTGCGTGTGTGTGTGTGTGTGTGTGTGTGTGCGTGTGTGCCACTGTCAGCACTTTGTCCTTCTGTAGGCTCATTAGAGACAAGCTGCAAGGAATGCTGGGTAATCAATACTGCTGAGACCCTTAGAGACCAGACACATCGCCTTAGAGCGAGTTCTGTCTTTTTTGTCCTTCTGTGCGTGTTTACAACCCGTTACCGTGGAAACCGCTGTGATGCTGTGGCACTGACGCTCCGCACACACCCATCCGGACAGCTGGCGTCACAGTATTTTGTAAAACTGTAGAAAGCAGAGACGGTGTTTCTGAACATGGGACCTGAGAAGGCCGGTGGGGCTGAGCGGAGGAGGCGCCGGCGTTGGGGTTGGCGTGCGGATGCAGCTGTAGTCTCGGCTCTTTGTCTTCTCTCCTTCATCCCTCCGTCTCTCCTGGGAGAGGATGACAGCGGAGGAGGAGAGAGGGAGGGAGTGCTCAGGGTTACAGCTGACAGGATGACAGAGAGCGCGTCCTTTGGATTTACCCACTGTAAGACATGCAGACACAAACATCCTGAGCCACAGTAAATATGTCATCCACACTCTGAAACATAGGACGCATCTGCAAACTCTGATTGGTCAGCAGCTTAAAACCAAACTCGTCCTGAAGCCAGTAATAAGCTGCCTGGAAGCTCTTTAAATGTTTTAGTGTGATATCTAAAATATTCACACGTGCTTCACACAGTTTCATTAAACACGTCCGTGAATCTGTCTTACCACGCTAAACAAACCTGGACCAATCAGGAGAAAGCACAGGTAACTTCAGGCATGACAACAGTGATTTGATTAGCTGAACAGGTTTTACTCGTCACCTTCCAAGGTTCTCTACAACAAACTATCTCAACATAGAAACACAGACTGAGTAACTTCAATCACTTCATAACTTTTTGTTTAAAAACACAAACTCATGAATAAAATAAATAATAATAAATAATAAATATAAATAATAAATAATAAAATAAAAACTCATCACCTGCACTGTACAAAGGGACAGAGACCATTTTTATGTAACTTTTCTTGAATAAAAGCTGTTTAAATGAGACAACGCTTTAGAGAAGAACAGAAAAATCAGTTCAGTTCATTTTTATTTCAAACATTTCAAACGTGCTTTCACAATCATTACAAAATATCATTTCATTATTTGTTTGAAAAGGAGCAGAAGTATTTACTTATTTGTCCCCACCCCCTCACATTTTACCTCTCATTCATTTAATTTTCTATTTAGTCTTAAATTAAACAAACAACATATAAAACAAAAGTAAAACAAAACAAAACAAACAGAAATCAAAAACAGCTTCTTTCATATGAAAAAGACAGAATGTGTAAATTTGCAGATTCACAAGTTATGGAAAAAACAAACAAACAAACAAACAAACAAACAAACAAACAAACAAACAAAAAGAACAACAACACCATTACCAGCAACATCACCGTCCTGGGTTAACACTGTTTTCTTCATTCTTCTAATTATTTAAAATTAGGTTTTTATATTTTAATTTAAACTGTTTTATGTTTTTACTTTCTTTTATTTCTTCTGTTAGTCTGTTCCATAATTTAACTCCTGCAATTGAGATAGACATTATTTGGTGTTCTGGCACTTTGTATTTTTAAATTCCCTCTTAAGTTATACCCACTGTCTCTTTCTATGAACAATTTACAGATTTCTTTTGGAAGCATTTTATTTCTTACTTTATACATTATTATTTATCACCAAGTCTTGGAATTTAATAGCTTGCATTTTGACAAAGAGTGCATTTGTATGGTCCCTGCACCCACATTATTATTAATCTGATGGCCCTTTTCTGTATTATAGTTATTGTTTGTGTTACTCTTGTATGTTTCCCCAGACCATTCATTTGTCTTATTGTTAAAGAAATTACAATCAAGATCTTTGTTGCTGTCATACACCAATGTCCTATTGTCAATATCTATGAGCTGTTAGTTGAAAACATCTGAGTTGTTTGTGCAACTCAGTCCCATCATATTTAGCAACGCTTTGCATTTATCAGTTTTATTCTTGTAGGTCCATCATCTCTTTGATGACTAGAACCTGCTCTGGTTTAACTCAATGAATATTTTACAGTCTGACGTCCAAATTCACTGTATTTTCTTCTGTTTTCTTAATATCCTTGCTCGTCTCGCAATGTCAGCATTTTTCTTGATTAGGTGTTTGTTTAAATAAACATTTGTACCCTTGAGCTTTCTTCCTCGCTTGAGCAGTTCTTGTTTCTGTTTTCTATTAACAAACGTATGATAATGGCAGGTATTTGATTTTTCCTTGGAAGAGGAGGCATCCCTCAATATTTTTACTGTCCATTTCGATACCCTTGTTTTTGAAGATGCCATTACCTGCTCTCCCCTCTCTCTGACGCTGCTACCCGTGCATATGTCTGATGCTTGGTTTCCAGTCCGTCACTATCACATCATTTACTCTTGAATATTGTTTGACAGTCTAGGATCGCCCCTGGATTCGGTGCTCATATAATTAAACCTCAAACCTTTATTGTAGAAGTAAAATGTTGATCAAACAGCTTCAGCCTTTTGATCTTAACCTGTGAGATGGTTTCCAGTAGAGCACTCCTCCTCCCAGCTTCACATTTGTGTACAGCAGATCATCCAGTTTGATCTTAGTGTGTGTGTGTGTGTGTGTGTGTGTGTCTATTACTGGTTAATAGATATGCAATCAGCCCTGATCACACCTCATCTGTGTGTTTGCAGGTTTTTCCTCAAGTTTTTTCTGAAGTGTAACCAGAACTGCCTGAAAAATGCAGGAAACCCACGAGACATGAGGCGATTTCAGGTAAAACACACACACACACACACACACACACACACACACACACACACACACAGATGAATTCATTTCCCTAAAGGGCAGGACATGGCTGTGGATGATCCCATAATGCATTGCAGCGGGGCAGCCCAAGGCTTATTGCTTTGGAGATAAAATATGAGAGGTCATCAGAGACGTCTGTCTGTCCATCCTTCCAATTATTTGTGTTCAGCATCTGTTTGGTGTCTGAATGACGTGTCAGTCACAATCACGCCATTACTGACAGGATAATTCGACGTTCACTCATCAATAATGAAACTTTAAAAACAAATAATCCTTTGATAAGTAGAGCTGCTGTAGAACAAAGACCCTGATGTTCCAGAGGAACACTCGTTCATGAGAATGAGAGTTTGTTCCTAATGATCGCTACTGGATCAGAGTCGGCCCGTCTGATGCTGGTGAGAGAAAGAAACCAGAAGCTTCTCAAACATGAAGCCCCACCAAACAAAGCATGCCTGAAAGCATCAGAAGCTCCAGATGTTGAGGGTATCTGCAGATGTTTATCACCACGGCTACCACAATAGACGTGAGGGCATAATAGCCCACGTAAGCTGCATTTATCTGTGGTGCTTCAGAGCATCAAAATCATAAAACCTTTCTGTAGTAGAAATGTGCTCCACACTGGGGGGCCATCACCAGATGAGCCGTGCACTAAACCAATACACAACAGAATCTGTCATTTATGTGTTTCTATTACATTGATCCTCAAAGTCTCTGCAATCAGGGAACAAAGAAAATAATCATGAAGTATAAATACTTGCACTAAAAGACAGACGGTCATAGCAGTTATTTATTTATTTATTTATTATTATTATTATTATTATTATTATTATTATTATTATTATTATTATCATCATTATTATTATTATATTTTTATTATTATTATTATTATTATTATTATTATTTATTATTATTTATTTATTATTATTATTTTCTTCTTCTTCTTCTTCTTCTTTTTATTTTTATTATTATTTTCTTTTCCCACTATTTTATAGCGATACATATGTGGGGTGTGGGGTGTTTGCATGTTGTTTGTGTGTGTGTTATAATATTGATTTGATTTGATGTTGGTATGTTTGACATCGTCCGTGCAGACACTCAGTAAAAGAAAATATCAGAATGCTGCTCTGCATTTACAGCAGCATAAAAATGTTTACATTTCATTCATGATCTCAGTAAAGGAGGCAGTAAAGCTGCTGTGACCCTCTGTGTTGCGTCTCAGCGAGAGCCTGCTGACCCCGTGCGCCTTCATGAAGCTCAGATTAACTGAGTGCGCAAATACAGACGCCCCACAGTTAAACACCCTCAACCACGAGAGCTTCATTCATCAGACACTTAACAACGAGCACCGCTTATCAGGAAGAAGAGCCCCATGATTGATCCTCATTATTGATCAGACCCATCGTACCATTACGGTCCAAAAGAGCAGCTGAAGCCAGCAGGAGGTGGCAGGAGAGAGGAGGAGCCATAAAACATAAACACATATTTGAAAAAAAAAAAAAACCTGAATACCTTCAAATCTGCAGAAAGTAAACAAAAACGTTGATGTTATTATCGAAGGAAAACATGGAATGAGCTGCGATTTATGTGATGAACATGTTTCTACAAAGTTGCTGCATTACGTCAAACACATCAACACGTCGATGAGTCCGTCGATGTCTGCAGCACCAACAGCTGACGGAAGAAACGGCGACACAATTAAAGAAAACAAACTTCTGCAATCTGTTGCTCGGAGGAAAGTCAGTACAGAAATGTCAGGTTCATAGCGTCTCCTTCATTGCGCTGCTACCTGTTCACCTGTCATATCACAGGAACCCAGAAACAACAAGACAACACCAGCAGCCTGTTGTCGGTTACACCAGCTCAGTCTGTGGAACCAAGAACTTCAAACCTGCAGTTCCTCTGACATCCAGCAGAGGCAGCAGTCAGTCAGTCTGATACACAAACCAGCCATTACTCAGTTCCTACCTCGTAAGTTCACGAGGAAGTCCAGGAGAATGCTGCGTACTGGATGAAAATATCTATTATGTTAGCGTTAACTCAAAAGAAACCAAAAAAAAAAAAACAAAATTTTACACCAGAGAATAAAGACGGGCAAAAGATTTCCAAATATACTGGCAGCTCTGCAGTGAGACATCAAAGTTAAATACAACGATGCAGTTATAAAGCTGAACTTTAATCAAAGCTCAGGAACAAATAAAACACTGAAATAAGCCAAACATGAACCATGGATCATCAAAGAGAATTTTATCTCATGCTTAACTTCCACTGGGTGGCGAAAGCCTGCGGGGGTTGAACGCGAGTGCCGTGATTCAGGCGTTTCTCGTGAGCCTCGACCTCCCGATCTCTGAAATTGTTGGAGCACTTTTGCAAACGGGCAACGATATTTAACTTCACACGTCTACATTCTCACCTAAAAATCTTTAAAGTTGTGATACAGAAAAAGTAATATTTCAAACTTTACTTTACTTGCCACTCTCATCCACTCTTGCCACTTTCCCTCTGGGCTTAATAAAGTCTTCTGATTTTCAGTTTTAGACGAAATGCATTCTGGGATACTTGGCTTCAACAAGCCCAGACAAGTACACACGAGCACATGCAAGTATGCATATTGAGAAACAACCTCTGGTTCGGTCTCTAGAGATTATTTCCCCCCTCGTAACAGCTGCAGGGGGGAAGATGTTTTATAACTTGCCTGTTTGCAGTATTGGGGGGATGGCCTCTTCGACTGACAGCTGCGAACTGTCTGCTAATATGGCTGCTGTGAGGTTATCGTAGTAACAGGGTATCCAAGGAGTCTGAGAAGCCTGTTAATGTTTAAGCTTCAAAGCCTCAGAAAGCTCTGTGTAATGCAGGTTCTGCAGCTTCATCCCACAGATGTTTTTACAGAAAGGAGATGCCCTACACCTACTGTCCACCTGACCAGCCAATCAGCTTGCAGAGCAGGTGATATTCACTCAAGAAGAAAGAAACAAGCTTTATTGATAACATACACAATCATACAGAGAAATGTGTCATGTCCGAGCTGCAGACGTAGCCGCGCCATTCCAACCCAGGACCTTTACTGGTTGCTGGGATGGGATCGAACTTGCAACTTCCACTTCAGGTGTCATCACTACACTATCCAGCTGCCACAGATTTTACTCACGAAGCTTCGCTGCTGCTGAAAGAGAGGAGATGTGTCATTCGAGAAAACTGCCTCTCTCCTCCGTCTGCTCGTTGTCTCACAGCTTCACGCACACACACACACACAATAACACACACGCTCGCCGGCCACGCTGCCCCCGCCACGCTGCGCTGGCCACGCTGACAGGATGTTAAGTCCACTTAAAGCAGCGGGGCAGGGGGAGGGGGGAGACGGGCCAAGCGAGCCGCAGGAGGAGAGCGAGGAGGACGGAGACAGGTGAAGTCAGGTGTGTACTCGTGTGTGGTTGTCGTGGTGACAGCAGGGTGAAGGATGTGCTGGTTAGCCACTGTGGCGACAGAGGACACTTCTACTCGCTCTCAGCGTGACCTTCTGCTCCGTCGCCATGGATCAACGGCAACAACCTCGCCACGGCAACCAGCCACAGATGATGAATGGCCACAACCTGGCACCTGGCAGTGACATCATAAAGAAGGCGGGTTCATTCAGACAATGAACCTTTTTACGTTTGTCACATCATTTTATTTCCTATGTTTAAACGCTTTATACTCGTTTAGAGTGTTCCACAAACTTTCATCAGGTCAGAGGTCAAAGAAATATCAAAGCATAAAGTTTACAGTTTGTTGCCAGGAGAACGTCCTCATTATGAAATCTTAATTTTGTTTTAGAAGCCTTTAATTAAAGAGGAAATAATGTCTGACGGTGACATCATCAGTGTGAC